TAATCGTAAATTTTCGTAAGTTTACGCTCGCGTAAAAACTTGCGGAGGTTTACGCCTATTTATTTTTGCTGATGTTATATTAACTGATGCTTTGCTATTTATATTAACTAATACTTCGCTATTCATATTAACTGATGCTTCACTATTCATATTAACTGATGCTTTGCTATTCGTATTTACATTGTTGTTAGAATATAAATTACCTTTTTGCTTATTATTATGAACTTGTTGGCTTTTAAGCTTTTTTATATCTAACTTTTGTATACGTTCTTTTTGTTGGTTAGCCCGAAGCTGTGCTACTTTCATAACTTTTTTTTCATTAAGCCGAACTCGATGCTTTGAATGAATAAACCTATCACTAAACAAATGCTCAACACTTGCTGAATTAACTATGATTGAGTATAATCTTTTGCCAATAAATGCGAGCTCAGGTGTTTCTCCTTTAACATACTTCTAAAAACCAAAAGGATCATCTTTAAACTGTCCAGTTTGACTATTATCAAATAGAAATATTTTGGCATGATATTGTATTATTTCACAAGCAAGTATTTGTGGTATGTTTCCTGTCCACATTTCATAATATATTTGAGTGTATCTACATAATTTCATAAAAGAAATACCACTTGCTTTTAAATTTAAATTGTTTAATCAAAAATCAGGATTTAAAAAATATGCAAAAGAAAAAAGGTTGTTCCCAGTTCTTCTATCTCTTTTCGAGACATTCTATCATTACTAATTTAAAGTCTTGGATATCTTGATTATCATCTTTGCTCATAGTAAAAATTTAACTAAAGTGTCCAAAGCAAATAAGAACATGATAAAGACAGGTATTATTTTTTTCAAGCAATGCAATAGCTTCTAAAAAAGGCTTTAATATTGTTTTTAATATACTAAGATTGTTGAAAAACTTGTAGTTATTCAAAATATTTGTAACAGTTTGAGAAAGCAATAAAGCTTTTTTATCAAATATTTGAATATTCGCTCAATGAGTTGCTGAAAGACTCTATTAAATATTTATAAAATTTAAAATTATATCAAAATATTTAAATATAAAATATAAAAATTAAATACCCTTAATGTACGTTCAGGTTTTAAAAGAGCCTAAATGCAATTATAGTACGAATACCAACGAGTCTCAGAAGAATTAGTTAATACAAAATAAGAGATATGAAGTTCATTACAAATATTTTTAAGAAGTGTTGTAAAAAAGGGTGACTTATTAAAAAAAGAAGTGACAACTACGGCTTGCTTGATTACAGAAAAAAAAGATTGTGATGATTTAAAAATATCAGTGATAAAAAGGTTAGCCTAATGGGCAAAACAAGGCAATCAAATTTTTGTCAATAATTCTCTTCTTAGCCTACAATGTGCAGCAGCATATCCACTTGATGAATCTGTAACAATTGCAACAATATTAACATCTTTCAATTTATCTTCTTTTAATAGATTCTTTACTAACTTTATTGTATTTTTCATAAAACTGCATTTACTTGAAATATCTCTTGTATCATATATTATTACCTCTTCTACTTCTGTAATGCAAGTAATACCAAGAATACTTTGCTTTGCAATATTTTTCTATCCGTCAAAAGTAAGAGTAATAGCTTTGGCATTTTTTATAATTTCTAATGTTTTAGTTTGAAGTTTATTTGCAGCATTATTAAGAAGTCTTCCTCTTAATATTCGACTAGATGGAATTGAATTGATCTTAAGTTGTAGTGCAAGATTGAGAAAATAAAGAAGTTCTAATGATTTATCATTCTCTATCCACCAAAATGCCCATTTATTAGAAATAGTTGCTTTAAGAAGTTTTTCTTGAAATTCTTTAATCCAATTATCTGTTGGGGGCTTTAGAAGATATTTAGAAATTCTAGCTTCAAGTTGTTCTTTAGCAGGATTTTTAGATTTAAGATATTTATTTGAAATAGTATTTTCTAAAATATTGCTATCTGTTTCACCTTAAAGTTCTTGCTTTAAATTACTAGAAGCATTCAAACAAGAACGAATATGCTGAATATAATATCATGGTTTGTCTAATACAATCCCCTTTCCTCATTCTAAATTTGCAAAGGAATCTTTATTATTTTTTAAACAAAAGGTACATGCTATCTCTTTATCTAATAAGTTCCAAAATTTTGGCATTCCATTATCATCTAAAACCTCAATAAAAAATTCAAAAATTGCACGTTTTGGACATCTTTGTTTATAATTAGATATTGTAAAAGTTAAGTACTACAGATCTTGTAAAATTCCAAAAGAAATTTAATAATTATATAAGTTTTTTTTGATTAAATAGAACTAAAAATTTATAATCTAATTTATGTTACTATATATTACTTATATATATTTCTTTTACTGCTGCTGTGTAGTTTTATGTCTCTAACCACCTTTCTTTATTGATTTATGCCTTTTGTCCACTTATAGTATACCCAAGTTTGGTTGTTACTTGAATGAAATTAATACTCAAATATGTAAACATGTATATATTGATTTATCACACTCTTTGATTACTTTTACACAATAAAACTTATTTTATTACTTGAACGAAAATAGAAGTTCAATTAATTGTGATTGACTCCTTATTTATTTAACAAATAATAATTACACATTTATTATATCATATTGCGTCTGTCAAGTCTGTCAAATAAACTCATTATTACCATTTTAACACGACCCGGATCAATACTCTGTAACCTGAAGATCAATACACATTTTATATTTACATATCAATATATAGTTTTGTAGTCTATACTAATATATAGTAACCTTAATACTAGATATTCTGTAAAATCAATCTAGATTTATCTTATCAAATTTGAAACATATAATAAAAAATTAAGCGAACTATCCCTTAATTGGTAGAGATTTGCAGGCAAATTTGCCTGCATAATTACTATAAATATGTCTCTGATCTATAATAATATTTGAAAATAAGAATTATATTTTTGCAATATTTGTATTCATATTGTAAGACAAAAATTTTAGTTTCTTATAAGCTAAAAATAAACAATTTTAAAGAAATTTTTAAACTAAAAAATTAATTTATAATTTCTTGACAAACTCTTTAAATATTAATTTTAAAAATATAGTTTCTAATACAATATTGTAGTTTATATAAAGGATGACAACTTTCATTATTACACTTTTAGTGATTTACTAATAAAACTTAAGACTTGTCTTAAGAGTAAAAGTTTTTTATAGACAAAAAACATATAAAATTTAAAAAATCTAAAGAAGAAATTATATAGTAAAAATTTCTATACAAAGACTTTAAACATTTATTGTGTTAAAGTTTTTTAATAATTTTAAAAAATTTTCTTAACAAAGTTAATAAAACAAATCTCAAATTAAATATTTTATTTAGAAAATATATAGCTAAAATCAATATTTAAAGTTTTATTTTAAAAATAATCTTTTAAAAAAAAATTCAGTACAAATTTGTATAAGAAACGGTTTAAGGGATAGTGAGTATAATTACATAACCAATATATATATAATAAATATAATATATTTAAATTTGTTATATTTATATCATACCTTAATTTTGCATTAATCTAGTTCGAGTAGGTATATTAGATATTATTTTAAGTAACTTCAAGAGAAAATGAAACTTCAATAATATAAATTCTGAATGATTGAAGTCACATTTTTCTTGGGTGCCACTATTTATTACTGTATTAATTAGTATGCTTTAAGAAAATACAGAGTAATATAAAGAATATTCATAGTCAGTTATTTAAAACAAAAATATTTGTGAATCTTTGTTAGAGACTTTCAAAATTAATAAATTTAAGGATATAAAAATCAAATTTAGAATTATGAATGTCAAATTAAATAGTGCATTTGGCGATTCATATTATATAGTCTAAAATGTAATTAACAATAAATGTGATTATCATTTAAAACCATTTATGTATTATCCCTTAAACTGTATTCCAGGCAAATTTGTTTGGAAAATTAAAAAGTATTTACAAATTTTTAAATAAAATTAAAAATTATTAATAATATAGGGTATAATTTATATATA